CATAATGCTAAAAAGCACAGGTTGTGTGCCTGTGTGTGCTTAGGTGATTTCCATGAAGGCTATTTTATTTCCCAGAGTGCTTGGCGTGTCATTGGGAAATGAACATCAGCAGCTGAGGACTAGTTGAAGGATAATTTATGGAACAAAACATAGAGAGTGTCAGTAAAAAACACAAAAAACGCTGCCGGTCAGATCGGCCACCTTCGGGCTTGGACACGTTACTACTAAACACTGCTTTTTGGTCTCTGGGTCACAGCTGGAGACCCGACTCTCATCATCGGTGACGATCCCTAACATGAAGGTTGGGTGAGTCTAACACAAAGTGGGGATTTAAAAGCAGCAGCAGCACAGCTATGAAGGGGAGACGGACCAACTTTAAGCCAACTTTGGTTGTTTTATAATCTGGATGTTAGCAATATTTCTGTCTTAAAACAAAAAGTTTGGAAGCAAATTAATTTCGTTGTGTTATAAAATCTAAATATAAGGTCAGATGTACTTTATTTAGATATTATTTTGTTATTATGTTATTTTTGTCTCACAGCAGCCAAAAACAAGAAAAACATCCATAAAACAGAGAATCACTTAAAAGAATCTCAATAAAGGAGAAAACTGAAAAAGAAGTGAAGCATTTAGATGCCTTAAAAAGCTTGCTCTGAATTTTATGAATGGCTGAGTTTGATTGTGTAGTAGACCTCTAGTGGTCGCGTGAATGAGTGCATGTTAAAAATCTCCGATGGGGCTGTTACTCAGGAAAAGTTCTAGAACTGCAACTACTTTCAAAATGACGTCCCAGTCACTAGCCCGCAGAGAGATTTTGAACTGTTTAGTTCTTCCTCTGCCCATTCAATGCAAATCAGGCAATAAATAACAGCCTTAAATCAATGAAATGGTTCCAAAGTATCCCAACAACAACTAATCCCAAACTGATGCCAAAGACATGAAGCACGACAGCGTTACAGCGGCACCCTCTGTACTGAATGAGTCACATGCGATAGATTTGAAATGAGCTGGCAGGTTGTGTTTGGATCATAGATCCAGCTTGGTCATCAGAATAGCAACACTTTGCTGTGAGGAGTTGACAGATAGATGGAAACAGGAATCAAAGAGTTGGAGGCCGTTAGGGTGGATGTCTGAGAAAGATGGATGGACAGACGTCAGAGGCGTGTGACAGTCCAACAATTAGCTGAGCTTCACCGGGTTTAAATATCGATCTGAGAACAATGATTATTGAATTAAATGATGAACCTTAATTTGTTGAGCCTGTGATGAGCAGAAAGCACATTTTACAGTGTTAAATTAAACTGCGAGTCATATCGCGGTGTTTCATAATTTCAGCAACACTGATCTTATACTCACATTGGTTCTCAATCTTTATGCTCCGTTTGTCAGGCTGCGTTGTCACTTCCATTTCTCTGTTATGCTGGGAAAAATAATGGGAACTGATCGTTTCCTGAATACTCAGTTAAACATGCCCAGTTTTGGAAATGTTTGTTTTTGACTTCCAATTTGAATATATTTCTGACTGTGACAGTTTGGAAACAATCAAAGAGTTTAATTGGCAACAAAAATGTATTAAGAGATGGAAACTCTGAATGTGTTTAAAGAGGCAGAAAACATATTTTATTCTTTGGACTCCATCCAAAGTATTACTATTGATTGGATAAAAACACAGCAAGTCTTCCAATAACTCATTTATTCTCATCTCTTTCACATATTTAAGTTGCTCATCCTTAGCAGTAGTACTTAACATTTATTACAAAGCTGCACATTCAGAGTAAGGATGAATTTCCAGGATATCCGGGACGTGTGTAGAACTCCTCAAACACTGTTAGCTTTTCTGATTTTACTTTTGATTTCTTTTAACACAAATATCACAAATTTATGTTTAATAGTTATTTTTGTCTGTTTGTTGCCTCTAGACCATGTCGGCATAGTAACAGGAAATCGCATGTATAACCCAAGGCATTATGGAATAATGACAAAAGCGGTGGCGAGCAGGACGGCAGAGAGAAGGAAAAAGTAAATAAAACCAATATTAAAGGAAATAGAAAGTGAAGGTACCGAAGATGAAATGAGACAGAAAGAATAAAAGGATGGAAAGAAGAGAAAAAAATGAGTGAAAGTGTAAATATAAAGAAGAAGAGTGGAGCAGATGAGTGGAGGAGAGAGGGGGGTGGAGGAAAATGAAGAACATAACTGTGGTTGCTGATGTAAATCTCCCCCAGGTTAAAACAAGATGATAATTAAAAATGTACCACAGGGTCACACTGTGGCCGTGTGTGTGTGTATGTGTGTGTGTGTTTGTTTGTGTTTGGTAGGGGTGAGAATGCAGTGCCCATTAAAAGGTGTCCCTGCTGCAATCAGTGTACAGAGGCCTAAGGGCCTATTTGTTACTACATCAATCTGGAGTTAATGGAAACACACAAATGCGCAGACTTGTGCACACATCCAAACACATTTCTGCCTACAGTGCTAACATTGTCAGAAAGACCGCCAAACAGCAGGGCAGACACACACACACGCGCATGCATGATGGGTTTATACACTTAAACACACACAACACACGTGCAGCTGGGAACGAAGGCAGCCAACTGGGCCATCCTCAGAGCACAGCGCACACTGATTGGTACACAAGCAAATCTTAATGAGATCCTTTCAGCGCTGAATTTTTCATGTTTCTCTCATAGATTCTTCACCTCACCTGTCTTGGTTTTTCATGAGCAGCTTATAGATTTTTTTTTCACGTTCCTATTAGACGTCACGTTTCCTGTTGCTTTCGTTACATTGCTACGGCGACGGCACTTAAATGTCATTTTTTTGAGGCTGATATAAATTACTAATCCAAACAAACTTTTACTCTCATCTGAAAATCATCTACTGAAGATGAGTCGAAGTGAAAGGACGGGTATTTTTTTAAATGTCACGGTTTTGACTCTCTGCCAGGTCGCATCAGTAGATAAGACAGCTCTGCGGCGAGTGCTGTGTGAGTGCTGCAAATATTTAAGCGCAGAGTAAATTGGTTTGAGAACATATCTGCACATAAGTCATTGTTAGTCGTTGACTGGGGGAAATAAAAGAACACAGACGCGACGGGACTGCAATGGATAAAGTGCACGGTGACAGGCTCAGCGAGCCACCGTCTCTGCATTATCTCACACGAGACTCTAAATCTCTGCTTGCTGTTCAGTGGTCAAAGCTGACCTCTAGCTTTCTAACCGATGGAGCCAATGACCCTTCAGGGTTCAGTAAAGTATCCTTTTACAAAGCCCCAAGGAGCTATACCAGCTGATGTGATTATTTTGGCCAATTGGCTTCAGTCTGATTCACAAACCAGGCTAAACTTAGAAGAAGTTTGCTCATATAAAAACACACTGACTGAAATGTATATGGGAAATTTCTCAAGTTATGATTTATGTCTTGAGTCTTTATGTCTTTAAGTCTTGAGTCACGGGGCGATCGTGGCTCAAGAGTTGGGAGTTCGCCTTGTAATTGGAAGGTTGCCGATTCGAGCCCCGGCTTGGACAGTCTCGGTCGTTGTGTCCTTGGACAAGACACTTCACCCGTTGCCTACTGGTGGTGGTCAGAGGGCCGGTGGCGCCAGTGTCCGGCAGCCTCGCCTCTGTCAGTGCGCCCCAGGGTGGCTGTGGCTACAATGTAGCTGCCATCACCAGTGTGTGAATGTGTGGATGACTGGATATGTAAAGCGCTTTGGGGTCCTTAGGGACTAGTAAAGCGCTGTATAAATACAGGCCATTTACGACAATGGAGAAATTCAAATGCTGAAGTAGTGTTCCCTTCACATACATGTACAGGAAGAAAGAGTAGAAGTCAAGGTCATGGATGTGGTTTTGGGCAGGATCCCATCACAGTACTGCCAATCATATCCAAATGCCAAATCACAACAACAGTCACCAGAAAGCACTTTGTATTGTAAGGTGAAGACCCCATAATAAAACAGAGAAAACCCCAACGATAAATGGACCAACAATGGTGGCAGCTACTAAGTTTTAATACTCTTTCTGGGTCACAAAATAAACGTTTAACACATTTTCAGGCGAGAATGTAGCTGTGTAAACTTCAAATATCTGCTCGGTTTATCAAGACACCACATATTTACAAAAGTGCTCCGACGTTTTCGGAGACGTCTGTTACCCACCAGAGTCACCAGAGCCGGCGAGAACACCGGACTCTCGCCACAAAATGTTTTCAGATCCCCGCGGTCTTTCACTAGTCAGGTTAATCAGTTAGATAACCTAAAGATCTTATTGTTTGGCTTTTTTCCGTATTTTTTTTGTTTGTGAGTAAATCAGTTTGGCTGAGATTAAAATTATTAGATTAGATTCAATAAAACTTTATTAATCCATCGGGTGGGTTCCTCCGTTTTTTTCACACAGCTGAATAAACGTCAAACAAAAAACTGATTAAACAGAAGTGTGAGACATCGAGAATTTACACCGAGTTTATTAAAGTCCAACGAGACAGCAGTGACGCAAATCTGAAGGCTTCGGCCCATGTAGACCGCGAAGGCTGGGTCCTCAGAAGGATGCGGCCTAGGTTTTGGGACACAGCTAATAATCTCCACTAACTTAACTCCTGTGAGGCGACCCTAAATATTTTATTTGGAGTAGTTAAAAAAAGACAATGACTGCTAAATGTAAATGACAGATCTGCAGAATCGATCAATCAGCTGTTTGTACGCTTAGCTGCATCTTTCATCATCAAGATGCAGAACCGTTAACACATTCAAGTAGACTTCCATCGCTAAAGTTCACGCATGCCTGAAAGGCCACAGTAAAGTGAAACGGATCACATGCGCTGCCACAGGCTGAAACCAAAGTGTTCGTGGAAACGCCCTGATGGAGCACGCCATTCCACGAAGAGACACCAAAGTGATGAGCACTTTGCACCCAGAATGGAGATGCCATTCTAAAAATAAGGACCTAGAGGATCATCACCCGAAACCAAGGATAAAGAAATAGAGAGGAATTGCTGTTCCTCACCAGGTGTGACTTCTATCACTGTGTCTTGTCTGTCTGGGGGGAAAAGGACCTTGGGAGGTTGTGTGGTCTGGAGAGCTGAAAGAGAGAAAAGAGAGGAAGGAGATCATCATTAAAAGTATGCTGGGCTTTGGACATAACATATATTATCACTTTACAGAGTTGCCATTTTTAGAAGGAAACATTGATTTTACAACATTACGCTGTTGATAGAAAAACAATGGAAAACCACAGCTGTACTGCAGGTGTAGAGCCCGAAAGTGCAGTGTTTTGTCAGGAAGAGCCCTGAGGGAGAGCTGACCGTTGCCCCCATCAATTGATCAACGGCCTGCAGTATCACAAAGCCAAATATAAAGAGAATGGAGCTACCCAGCTGTCACACCAACTAGATGCTGCCTCAGTCACAGAGACAGCTCACAACACAACTTTTCTCACCTAATGATTCCTTCTTGTCCCTGTGCAGGTGAACCTGTTGATGAACTGCCTTTGTCCTCTGATGACCAGCAGCGCTCTCTGCTTCCACTCCTACCACCTTCCCATTTTACCTCACTGACTCTGAAAAGCCAGCGCGCCGTGCTGCCCGACACCTTCCCCCCCTCACCACCTCCCAGTGTCTAACAATCCTCAATACTGCTGTCCTCCCTTAAAAGCCTGTCCTATTCCACACATAATTTATTCTGTGTCTGAGCACATGAAGGTGGTTTCTGGAGTTAACTAAGCACCAGCTGATTAACTCATATTGTGATCATTAAAAATGAGTTACTATTCAAAGTCTTGGCTTATACTGGAAACAATTCAGGGTTCAGTGTCTTGCATAAAATGCCCTGTCATACAGGAGGAGGTGAGAATTAACATCAACCATCAGTCAGCTGGGTTGTAGAGCTATTAAAGCTTCTTACATTTAAGAGCTGTTCAGCAGATTGTAATTCAAACAGCCTCAGAGGAGACCAGACTCCTGCACCACCTGTGAGCTCTGTTTTTAAGCTTTACAAAATCTAGGCCATGACAAGAGACTTTTGCCAATTACGTGTCTTTCAGACCAGATCTGGTGCTGCATAGGCGATTAGGCACAATGGTACAATATCACAAGCACATCACTGAACTTCTACCAGGAAGTGTGGGGTTACAATCCTGCATGAAGCCAAACAAATGTAGATTTTAATCCATATGATCATATGCACACGTGCATTACAGCAGAGCGATATATATTTTTTAGATTATAGTGGTTTGGTTCTTTTCTAGCTTTATCCAACTTTATTTTATTGCCAAATGTTTGGTGGTGCGAGATTTGCTCGAGCAGAAAAATAAAGATTGCAAGTGTTATGTGTGAAAATCAACACTTGGTTCATTTGATACATTTTTTTCAGCATCCATTAGACACAAACAAGCGCAAGAACAAAGCTGAGGCTTAATATCAGGAGTAAATATAGAGTCGAAAAGCACTCGCTCACCTACGACGCCTTAATTACTTTGACTTTTAGGAAACAGATAGTTTCCCACGTTGGATTAAATGCTCTTTATGTGACTTTTGCAGCATGGCAGAAGCACTCAACACGGGTTTCTCTTTCCGTCTCTTTTTCTTCTTTCTTTTCTTTCTCTACTTCTTCCTTTCCCCTCAGTAACACTGTCAATCTCTCCATCGCTCCATCCTCGTGTTTCTATGACAAGACTGATAGTTTCATTTGCATTCTGAAGGTGCCGCTGTGCCCTTTTAAGATTAATGAGACAACCCTTCACCTAGACCTACTCTTGTTCTCCTCTCTTCTGTGCTCCACTCCTCTTTTACTTTCCTCTCCTCTTTTCACAATCTTCCCATAATTTCGTTATACACATCTATACGACCGCTGCACAGATCCTCCCCCATTTACAGTTGTAAGTCTTTCTGGCTTACTGTGTTTCAAATTTCATGGCTCACAATTTCATTTGGGAGCTCATGTGTCCCTTTGTGAAAAAACAATGGTGCTGTATCCATGTTTTAATCGTCTATATATCTTTATGTGCAGTAAACTGTCCTTTTGAATATAATATTTCCATAATCTCCCATTTTGAGTTTGGACTTTGCTTCCATGTGTCATGTGGTTAGAAAATCAACAGTACATGCATGTGTCAATTCTCTATGAAAAAGACTAAAAATTGTGTATGTGAGTGTTCTGAGTCTGTGCTAACTTGAATTAAAATCAAAGGTCTGCTTCAAATAGATGTTAATGATGGGGTTGCTGTTTACGTGTATCAGCCAGGCTCATAGAAAGGCAGCAGCAGGAATTAGAGATCGCTGAACTTTTGAAAATGGTTGCTTGTGTCGAAAATTACAGGACACCAGTGATGCAGAGGGTGTGTTTTGTCGGTGCTTACGTGCGTGCTAGGACGGCGCCAACAGATGCGTCACATGATTAATTTCCACCCCGCAGCAGTGATTCACAATGGCTAATTTCAGTCTTTGTTTTTGTACTTCTTTACCATCTAAGAAGCGATGAACGCATAAAAAATTCATAGGACAGAACAACAACACTGTGTTTCCACAATTCATTGTAACTCGCTGCTTTTCGGTTGTGTTATTGTTTAAATCGATGATGAAATGGAGAGGTGTGAGGACACAAATGGAGACTGAAAATACCAGAAAATGAAAGCAAAGAGGACCTGCTGAATGAATATGTTTGGGATTTGTTTTTTTGGCTGTACTGTGTAGAAAATAAATGTAAATTTCAGTCATCAGCGAGAAGTAGTAGCAAACATTTGGTTTATCAAAACTAAAAACAGTTGCTGCTGGAAATGAGGTTGTTGAGAACAGGACTGGGGCTGAACTAAAACTAAACAACAATCAAAGATAGAAAATTGAATTCCAACACTTTTCAGTCTGAGTTTGACGATGGAGGACAGCAGCAATTTGATCTACTGGGTGAAAACTGATTGTGGAATACGTGGCGTGAAATGATTTGCCATCTACCTCACACTTACTGATAACTCAAAGAGCTTTTTAGCCACATTTGGTCTCATGTATTCATAAAGCACTTTATTCTATACGCTTAATTGACCTTTTATTCACAACCATAACCAATTTAGACTCACCACTGAACCTGACACGCATCTGTTTGGGTTGTGGTAGGAAACAGAGGCAAGCCCTGCAGGCACTACCAATGGCCGGGGGGTTAGGAGGTTCAAACCCAGAGTCTGCATGCTGTGAGGTGACTCTGCTGATTGCACAAATTGCTGCTTGTTTTCATTAGGACTGCTCTAGAAGTTAGACACATGGTGTGGTTTAACTGCTGACATACCTACAACTAATTCTTCTTCTTTTTCCTCCACCAAGGAGATTATGTTTGTGGTCATATTTGCATGTCCTTCTGTCTGTAAGCACGGGAAGTTGACAAGTTTTGACTGAACATCCTTTGAGGTTTTCAAGGCCGACTTAATGATTTATCAGTCAAAAACTGCCAAAAACCCTTAAACTTAGAAACCACGACTCTTACATGTGTGGTGTGTATTATCGACACGTTGAATGTACCATATAAAGATTCAAAATACCGCACTGCATCGCATTTGACCTCTGACCTCACTTTTACATCTGCCTTCCTTTCAACTTGACCCCAAAATGTGTTGTGACTTAAAGAAAGTATCATCAAGAGAAAGAAAATGAGCCGCCTAGTTAATATACTGTAGAAAATTGAAAGTACTACTGACTGCTGGAGGTTTCTTCCTGTTAAAAGGGAGTTTTTCCTTCCCACTGTCACCAAAGAGCTTGCTCATAGGGGGTCATATGATTGTTGTTTTTCTCTGTATGTAGTATTGTAGGGTCGACCTTACAATATGAAGCACCTCGAGGCGACTGTTGTTGTGATTTGGTGCTGTATAAATAAAATTGGACTGAATTGAAAATGATTCTTTACTTACTCGAACATAATGTTTCTGTGATCAACGCAGACATCTGTCATAATATTTCATTATAGTTGCTAATATTATTATAGCAGTTTTAGTATATTTCTGTATGCATATATGACTTTTCTCTTCTTTTTTATTAGCCAGCACTGTAACTAAAAAAACGAATTACCAAGAAAAAAACACAAGTACTCAAATGGCATCTGTCTCAGTGGTGTGCTGTTTCTGCTGCACTTTGGGTTTCAAATAAGACCTTTTATAGTTACACAGTTCACTGCAGTGTGGCACATTCAGCAGGGCACAGTAATAATCACGTGCTAGACCCCACATAAAGTAGACAAAGTTTATTTTAGTGCAGTTTTTACAGAAGATGCTGTATAAACTTTGGCATTTTTGTTCAATTCAAGGAAGTTGTAAATGCGTGCACATCCCTGTTGTCATATATTACTGTGTGAGGGTCAGAAACTTTAGAGCATTTCCAAGTAATTTGAGCAACATGTCTGTCAATAAGAATCACCCAGCTCTGATCATTTTAGCTCTGCAGGTGCTCACATAGATTAAACCATTGCTTTCCTTCAGCTTGAATCTTGGATGGAAGAAAAACTGTTCATGTCATCAAACCTAATGTGAAATTTTTGAGACAAAGCTCTCCTGTTAGCATTAAAAACAATATTACAAATCAGTGCCATTTTCTCAACATAATGATCATTATTCCTGCTGCCTCGCCCGTAATATTTGGGACTGCAAATGGAATGACTTCAGCATTTCAAGGGTTGCTTGATTTTTGACCTTTTGAATGTTCATGTCCACAGTAATGTTGTTTTTTTTCTTCTGCAAAGAAAAAGAATAAGAAAAAAACTGAAACCAACTGGTTGAAAAAAGGCACCCTGTTCTTGCATGCATACTAGGTTTACATTCGGTGATTCTCAAAACTAAAGATTTGAGATCCAATAAATGTGTAATTTTCATTCCTCATTAAATATTCTCTGGGCGGTAAATGCTCAGAAACATCAAATAATGAATTATCATATGTTCAGGCCAGAAGGTAGACAAAAGGAAGCTTTTGTCTACCTTTGGCCTGGTTGACTGTATATTAACTGGCTGTGAATGACTGTTAATGTAATCTCAGCCAAAGCGCTCGCTGTGGACCGATCCACTGTGTCATTGCTCCTCTTCTCAAAAGGCAACAGAAAAAAAGGCGCACA